ATTCCTTAGAGATTAATGACTATTTTTTGTCAATTTTGGGATATTTTGTCAACCTCTATGGCAACGGTCCAAGATTGTTATAGAGAGACGAATGAAGAAGTTAGTGTTTTTGCCAAAGGATGAGTTCATACTCCCTCTCTGTTGGTTACTTTATTTATGTAATATTGTATTTTATATATGAATTAATGACAAGTCGTACGTTACCGTTCAAAAAACAAATGAGATTTGTTGAAAATCAAATATTGTTAGCTATAAATAACTAATTTTTTTAAAAAAGTTGAAAATTTAAAAAATTAAATACTAATATATATGCAATACAAGATTCATATTGAGTAGGTAACAAAATAATATCATGCAAAATATATTAATTTAGTCTATTATATGAATTGTGGCATGCCATTATGTTGTATTAAGGGTAATACCCTCATTGAGGCCATAGGACGCTCATGTCATTTTTTACTCGAGGAGGTTTGTTGAAAATCAAATATTTTTAGTCGTAAATAATAATAATAGTTAAAAAAAAAATTAAATACTAACATATAATACAAGATTCACACCGAGTAGGTAACACACTAATATTATGCACAATATATTATTTTCAATATGTTGTTTTGTATGAGATATTCCATTTTTTATTGTATGCAATCCCAAGTGAGCAATGTTGGGCTATTAATGGCCGAACGTTACTCTTCTTATAAAACTTAATATTTATTTTTTGATTTTTTGATTTTTTGAGTGTGAATAATAATACATCATTGTTTTCTATTGTTTGTTTCACGAATTATGTAGATTTTATAATTGCATTGTAAATGTACTCTTGTTTTAGTTTTTTATGTTGGAAATTTATTTTAGAGCAATCATGGAGATTTCCTTTATCGAAAGTGCTTTTTAGACGAGGATTTTAGGGGAGATTTTATTTTGCTTTCATAAAGCCTGGGCCTTATAGAAACCTCATCCTTTTTAATAGGGTGCGGTTTATATAGAGCCGAGGCTCTAAACAATCAAATTAGAGCCCACCTTCAATAGTGTCGAGAAATATGGTTTCAATACTGAAAAGTTTTGTTGTAACGTTAAGTTATATTTCATCTTTAGTTATAAAATTTAAAGTTTAAAAAATAGTGTAGATCGAGCATATCTATGAAAACTTTAAAATCTTGAAAATTGATGGTCCAACAATGTGTTAGAAGATGCACTATTTCCAAAACTTGAAGCCCATTTTTTGTTTCATGTGCATGCATCTTGATGTCCAGATGATCAATTTGATGATATTTGGACATCAAAACAACCTCTTCTTGTGAAAGTTTTGAGGTAGGATCTAATTTAATTGTTTAGATCCTAGGACCCATATAAACTTTTCCGTTTTTAATATCCCTTTTGTCACTTATCTTTCTTGCATTTTTATTTTTATTTTTTGAATGGTAATCGTTATTGTGATTTTCTAATTTTTTTTTTTACATACATTAATATATTTTATCCACAAGTATCTGGTATTCTCTTTTTTTTTTTTTTTTTCTCTGACATGTTAAGAGCAATAATGATGTTGAGACATTATGTTGATGCATCATGGCCCTGGACCAATCAGGTGTTTCAATATATATACTTACATATTGATAGATTTCAAAGAAAGTGATGGAAAAATTTCTAAGAAACTGAAGCAAATTATAGTCTTAATTATTGAAAAAAAAATTGGAATTTAGTTTTCTTTTTCTTGGCAACTCATCATTAGTGGTGGTTGTTCCATGGTCATTTTCTAAATAAATTATTTTGGATGGGAAATTCCACCTGCAATGTCTCTTATCACAACCCTTCCTCACTCACAAACACTCTCTTTCTTAGTGGAATCCATATATTTTTTAAGGGATTGTAAGTTTTGTGATTATTTTTTTAATTTATTTTTAGGCAATTTATCTAAATATTCATGATAGATGAATTATTTAACATTCTACCAATATTGTTCGGTTAATTTTAAAGTCTATACGATAATGATATGGAATGGTTGCAGGAGGATAGGATGTTAAATAATTAATCTCTTGCAAGTATTTTAATGAAGGGTGTGGTTGTATAAGGTTGCAACTTTAAACAATCAAATTATGGCTCACTTCCAAAATTTATTTTAAATACAAATTTGGAATAAAAAATTATTAGGATAGTTTGATAATCTATTTTCATCTCTAATTATAAAATTGTGAACACAATAAATGGTTCAAATCAAGTAGATCTATAAACACTTGAAAAGTTTGAAAATGGACCGTCTAGATAATGTATTGCAATATACACTATTTTTAGGACTCGACGTCTTTGTTTTTTTTTTTCATATTCATATATCTCAATGTCGAGATGATCAATTGATTGATTTTTCAACATCAAAATAACTTTTTATGGTGGTTTTTTTGGGTGAACCTTAATTCTACATTTTAAAGTTGCAACCTTATGTAAACTTTTTCCATTTAATGAATCTATGTTGTTTTTTATTTTCACAAGATCATGGACACCCAAGCCATTAGATGTAAATTCAGGATGTGAGACCATTTTATATAGAATGCATGAAAGATGTTTTGAATTTCAAGCATGGTTAATTGTATATTCAACCACTTTGTTTTCTTATTTAATGGCTAGGAGTAAATGTGACTTTTTTTTGTACAATACATTTATTTTATTTTGGAATAATATTTCGTATAACCATGATGACTAGGAGTAAATGTGACTCTTTTTTAATAAAATACATTTATTTTATTTTGGAATAATATTTTTTAGGGCCGTGACTATATATAACTACCCAATCTATACCTCATATTTAAAAGTGCATCGGAAAGGATGCAATCAATTATCTTGACCGTAACGATTATGAATCTAAAAATAAAATAGTTTAGAAAAATAGTCCTTCTCACAACACTTATTTGTGTTAAACCCTTCATTTTGAGTTCTCCACGCATAAATTTGCAAGTCATCTCAACGTTTTTCACCATCATATCATATTTTCAGGCCAATTTCACATTGAAGACCATAAATAAGCATATCTGAATCTATAACATGTCCATTCAAATCATTCCCACTAGGTTGGCAGGTACGGGCACCTTTAATTCATAGGGAAATTACACAGGATTGCATCAATGAGACCATTTACTTTTGGTACATGGAGAACACAAACTACTTATAACCATTTGATGTGAAATCTAATAGCTTGGGTGTGTTACAAAGTTCGATAAATTTTATTTTGAACTTTGAGTATAGTCAATGAAATAAATACAACCACCCGATTTCACATCCAACGATCAAGATTAATTGTGACTACCTTGTACCAATGTAAATGGTCTCATTATATATTTTCCCAAATTACATATACCCCTTTAAATTGGACTTCCATACAACCTCTCCCCAACCAATTTATTTATCGTAACTTTTACCAAAAAACAAACTTTTATGGAAAATACCCTCCAAATCAAAAAATCATAGTGCTTTGGACCAAAATACCTTTCATTTAGAAATTTCCATGCCTCTTTCTGGCAGTTGGCTGTTGAATGCCGTCGGTCCGACAACATGTGCCATACAGTCCGACATATTGGCCATACAGTTAGGGATTATGTTCCATATGGTTCGACATATTGTTCGTATGATCCGGTAGTGTTTCTTGCAAGTCCTATGGTCTGATGATTTCTAAAGCGGTCCAGCGGTATATTTTGTCGATCCATCACTATGATGCCTCGATCCGGCATAAGTTGCATGCGGTTCGACAGATTGTTGCTGTGGTTCGGCAGTTAATGTGGTATAGGTTTCAGTCTAACAGTAATATGTGCCAGCATCTACAAGAATGTGACACCTTGATGTACTGGCAACTTGATATACGAGCATGGGCTATGATGCCTCGATCCGGCATAAGTTGCATGCGGTTCGACAAATTGTTGCTGTGGTTCGGCAGTTAACGTGGTATAGGTTTCAGTCTAACAGTAATATGTGCCAGCATCTACAAGAATGTGACACCTTGATGTACTGGCAACTTGATATACGAGCATGGGTACTTTTGTCCTCCAAATTATGACTTTTTGACTTTGGGGATATTTATTATGAAAGTTAATTTTGGGGTAAAGTTGCGATAAAAAAAAATGGGTGGGGGGGAAATGTAAAGGAAGTTGAATCAAAGGTCAAGGAGGGTTTTGTAAGTTTTCCCAAATTCATATAAGGTATCAACCTCATACTATTGAAGTACGAGACACCTCAAAACCCCATTGAAAAAGGCTGTTACTATACTAAAAACCCCTTGAATTGGCCATTTCAATCTTAAGATGTAAGGTATGGAAAAAAGAGAGAGAAGGTTTTCAAGTATGGATAGTTTATTTTCATAATTTTTAGTCATTCATAATTTTGCTTCATTTACACCATTTTTTTAGCTTTAAATTTTATTATCAAAACAATAATAAATTTTCATGTAATCACAATGATTTTTGGCACCAAAATTACATCTTTCGGCATAATTATGTGACGCATTTTAGTTAAATGGTATAAGCTCGACACTTTACACAAACCTTAATATTTTTCAGAAGAAAGTGTATACAATGAAACCATCTACTTTTGATACAAGGAGGTCACGATTATTGTTGACCGTTAAAACCTGGTGGTTGAAGATGCGTTATTCTTTAGGCACAATGTTCAAAACAAAAATTTTCAAATATTGTGATACACTTTTATCTATTAGATTTTATGTTCAATGGGCGAAAAAGTGATTGTGATCTTCTTGTATAAAAAATAAATAGTCTCATAATATATGATCCTTTTTTCAAAAACATTACGATTTATTTTCAGGTACAGTATGGTCCTCCTTATTTAACTCTCTCTCTTTCACTTCATGATCCAATGGACACATGGGCTCGGTCTTTCAAGTTACTTTTTATTATAGACTTCTTATTTTTGTCATGGCCCATCATTCTATCCCCTTATAATAGGCCATTCATCTCTCTCTCCCTCCTTTCTCTCTCTAACCACAAACCCTCTTTCCCTCTATCTCTCTCCCCTTTTCTCTCTCTACCCACAAAGTCTCTTTCCCTCTCTCTCTCCCCCATAAACCCAAGTTATTGTTTATTTTACCTCTCTGTATAAATAACAACTTGATCTCATCTCAATTTTGATTACAACCAAAATTTCTAAATTTATCTCTCTACAATTCATAACCTAAAAGTTAGATATCTGGATTCCTAACTCTTCCTTTCTCTCTCTACAATTCAAGACCTCAAAATTGGATTTCTAGATTCCTGTGTCTTCCCTCTATATCTTTAGGCTACAGCCTCAAAATTATATTTGACTTGAAGCATAGGTGATTATAGGGTTTAGTGCTCTTCGAGAAAAATTTATTTCAGAGGGTTTTTATTTTCGAGCTTTAAAGCTTGAGTTTGTAGGGTTAGGGTTTCTCTCTCCTCCAACTCCGAGAACTGTTTTTGGGACTCTGATTTTCGATCATCGATGACCTTAAATTTGAGACACAAGCAAACATCCATTAACAGGGACAGAAAGCTCGGATCCCAAACCCTAAATCGATGATTTGTTTCTTTTACATGGACACAATATAATGCGGTTCACGCTAGGGCAAAGGAAACCCTAACATCTGATCGATTTTGGGGTTTTTCTCTTACTAATCTGGAGCCTAGCTTAAATAATGCAAGATTCACATTTAAAGGCAACCAATCTAGGTTTCTGTTATTCTTCGATTTGATGAACTGGATCTGTAAAAAGTGTGCACAAAAGGAATAGGTTTTTTGATTTCTAGGGTTTAGAATGTTCAAATCGGCTGTGTACCATGGGGATTCCCTTTTGGGGGAAGCGGAGGTTTATCCAGAGAGAGAATATCTCAATTTGGAAACCATTACAAAGGAAATACGGATCTCTCACCTTTCACTTCCTAGTGAGAGATGCCCACCCTTAGCAGTTCTTCACACCATTGCTTCATGTGGAGTCTGCTTCAAATTGGAGTTCAAATCTCAATCAGGAGAATCGCCACTCTTCTCTCTCTACAATACTTGCCTCAAAGATAATAAGGTATCCCACCACATACCTGAGTCCTATGGAAAAGGGGCACCTTTATATACTCAGGGTTTTGATTATCTGAAAAAATGATGTTTCATTGATCACTCATTCAGACATGGCAAAAAGAAGAGGGAGTTGGAAAATTGTCCACTTTTAGTGGTTGTTTTTGTAATTAAACTCTACTTCGGAGCTCATCTGGATACACAGCCTCTGTGGGAAAGTTTATGGATCCATTTTGCTTTAAATTTTTCTGTATTTTGATGGAATTTTCATGAAAAAATCATCCAAGACTGCAAAATTCCTAGTTTTCTTTTAGATTAGTATTTGGGTGGACAAAGGGGCCTGTGTGAACTCAACCATCATGGCAGTACGCTGCTCATGAATGCTTAAAATTGGAATTTTGAAAGGATCGAGTCTTGCAAGCCCAACCTATTATTTAGCTCATTCATATCAAAGTTTGATTTTGTTTTGAAAAAGATACATTGGAGATGTTTCTTGTGCTTTTATAAAAGCAATTGCTTGAATTTTTTGCAAAATTTGAGCATATACTGCAGCTGTGTTTTTCTCCCTTTTCAAGTGTGGCATCACTGTGAAAAAATAGCGACTTCATGTCTTTCTCTGTTTTTTTAAAGTAAGGATTGGGGTTTTGATTATGTTTTTTGTGTTCATTTTATCATTCTTTGATGGATAATGACATATACCTATTCTATTTATTTTTTTTTAATGCACAGACGGCAGTTATGCCCCTAGGAGCAGAGGAGCTGCATTTGGTGGCTATGGCCTCTAAAAACAAGTTCGAGCTGTTCTCATGTTTTTGGGGTTTTCGCATTTCATTGGGTCTATACAATTCTTGTCTAGCAATGCTTAATTTAAGATGCCTCAGCATTGTATTTGATCTAGACGAGACCCTTATAGTTGCCAACACAATGCGATCTTTTGAAGATCGAATTGATGCTCTCCAGCGTAAGATTAGTAGCGAGCCTGATCCTCAGAGGGTCTCTGGCATGTTGGCCGAGGTCAAGAGGTATCAAGATGATAAAACTATATTGAAACAATATGTGGAGAGTGATCAGGTTGTTGAGAATGGGAAAGTCTTCAAACTGCAAAATGAAATTGTTCCTCCATTGTCAGACAGTCATCAAGCTATTGTTCGCCCACTGATAAGGTTACAAGAGAGGAACATCATATTGACTCGCATTAACCCAGTTGTAAGGATTCCTCGAACCTTATTTCTTTTCATTATTTTGTTGAGATAAGCAGGGATTCTCTATCTTTTTCTTTACCAGGTTAGCCTTTTAATAACTTGGCATATACCACACATGATTAGTCATATAATGCATAACTACTTGGCCATGTCACCATCAAGAAATATTTATGATGTCTTTCTCATGGATTGGTTATATCTACACTTTGGTACACCTTTGTTATGAATTGAATTATTGTATAATATTTTGGTTAATGGCTCAGCATGTAGGTATTGTTTGGAAAAAAAAAAAGCATTAAAGTCTATGGATATGGTCTTGGGGGTCCCTATTGGGCTCGCACTGCTTAGAAGTTGATATTTGTTGTTCAGGTGTTTATTATTCATGTTACCTATAAAATTCAATTTTTTTTAAAATTTTTCAAAAACAATAATCAGTGAAATGTATGTATATGACTCATCTTACGTGTTGACACTCCCGGGATGGATATCTATAAAAAAGAAGACACTCTTGGTATTCATTTCTGGATATCTCTCTTCTTGCTTGGGATTTTGGGCATATGCATTCGTCCTTCCAAGTGGTTTTTTTTTTCTTTTGATGGATATTGTAACTTTTACTAAAAGATAAAGTAAATGCTACCAATGGCACACACTTTGCGAAAGGATAGGCGGGGTTCATGGAGATGTCGAGTCAACATCTCAATGATCTGAGGCTCCCCACAATGGGCCCCTTAACACTCTCACTGTCAGTTAATGCATCTACTCTAGCAAAACTGTAGTCAGCAACTCCCTTATTAAAACATGATTTTTTCATTAAAACTTTGATTTTTTGAAATCTGTTGAAAACTACAAGTTGTTCAAAAGATCTTCAAAAAATCTTGTCTTGTTGGCAATATTGATTCAAAAGCACAGTTAATATTTTTCGAAAGAACTTTCTTAAGAACAACTACTTCCTCGTTTTCATGTCCTTCACAATTCAAACGTTGTTGAAACTTTGATTTTAAATATTTGAATTTTGGTTTTGAGACAAATTTACTAAAAGTGGGATAAAATCAAAGATCTTGAGAATGTCATCAAAAGTTTCACAAACATATTCTCATAGATACGTAGTCCAAAAATGGAACAAAAAAGTATTCTGCCCCTCTTCTCTATCTATAAAAACAGTCAGCAACATATTCCAAAAATAAAAAAAAATATTCTAAAAAAACTGTACTCCATAAAGATAGTAGCGTAGGGGAGTCACCCAATAAAAAATCTTCGTTTCCTCTACACCAAGCGTAAATAGAGTGGAAGACAGAGATGGAAGCCATAACTGAACATTCAGGTGGATGGGAAGTGGGGGTGTGGTTTGAACATTTGGTTTTGCTTACACAGATTGCTTGGCACAAATAAGGCTTTATAAATAAGTTTGATTGTAGTTCACCTTCTCTGGATTTTTTTTTCTCTCTATAGTGTCCAGCATACAACAATTTGATTTGGACCACTATATTTTTGGATTTTTGGGTTTTTGTTAACTGCAATTATATAATATGGGGCATTTGTTATATTTTATTTGCTAACAACAATCCTATACCTTGGGTTGTTGTTATTGTTACTTGTTAATGTGATTGTTGTGTTCAGTATTGTTTCTTGTTGCATTATATGTTCCCAATACAATCATTGTATATTTTGTGCTGTCACAGAGGAGAAAGCAAACCATGTTGTTGTGTTTAATGAGAATTTGGACAATAAATTTGTCAAGGACCCTAAATGCTACCAACTCTTTGCATGGAATTAACATTCAATGACTTCATTGTATCCTCGCATAAGTTATTGTGTGCTTCCTTTGTAAATTGTAAGTTTGTAACTTCACTTTAGATCATCTATTAGATATTCTATTTTGTCATCCCATTTTTTTGGGTATCGTAAAAAATATTCACAATTTTTTAACTTGCCTAAATTTTTGGTGATCCATGTTTTTACCCTGATCTTTGTCCATGTTTTAATTTGCTGATATATTATGACTCCTTAGTTTGGTAACCATGATAAAAACATTGTGGAAATGATGCATGTTCGATGTAGACAAGCGAAAAATCTTGTTCATAACGCACGTGAAATGCCACTGAACTTGAACCTATCTCGGCATGTATCTGATGACATGAAGGCAACTCCCTGAACCTCTCCCCAAAAAGACATAGTTTGCCATCCATAAGGAAGGCTCTCACCTCAATTATCAATAAATCACGCCTTCCAAGGGGATTGAAATAGGAATCTTAGCATCCTGCCCTTGTAGTTCATTAACATGTCTCCCACCCCACCAAAGCTCAGATTACTGCGAAAATGTTCAGTACAGAACACCAAATTTTTTTAAGGCTGGTATGAGTGCTATCTAATAATGTGTATTGGCATTGTCGGAGTGGTGTCTTAAAAATCCACATATGTGGTTCAGAGCATCATTTTAGGTGCGCTTCAGAACACAAATCAGTTTTGATGGACCCATAAAATACCCAACTTTTGTCAGTGGGATGAAACTTGAAAATACCAGTTTTCAGCCCATTTGCAAAAAAAATCCTTTGTGTGTCTGCCAATAACTTCAGGATGGAAATGCATGTGGCCTTTTAAGCCAGCACTTAGCCTCCTGACACATACTGTTGATGGGGACAAATATGACTATTTTATCCCCCGTTATTTCATTGAATGATTTTTGCAAAATAGTCATTTTCTCCACCCATAGCACAATTTAGGAATTATAGAACAATAGGATGTAGGTGAACTAGTCACTTTTAAATGATTTTTAAATGATTTTATGGCACATGTGGTGTATGGATAACTGCTGACATAATAATGAGATTTTTAAATGGCAATTGGTTAATACTAAAGAGTAAACACTCCCTTATTTTCAAATATTGAATACTCTAGTTGGTATTTTTACTAGAAGAATCAGCGGTGTAAAAATGTAAAACGTCATGAAAATAGAGAAATTACCATGCAGAATAAGTTATAGAGCTCAGAAGCTTAGATTTTTCAAAGAAAGTTGGCATCTTAATAACAAACTTTTTCTTGGATCCATTATTAGTGTAATCTCGTGTTTGGTATGTAGATAAATTGGCTTTGGTCTTTGGCTGGTTGGTAGTAGTATTGACAAACTGCAATACAACATTTCAGGTTCAAATCCCTCCATTGATGTATCCAAATAAAGAATGTATGACGGATTTTTTTCTTGTTGACAAGTATATGGCCTATGGATGAGGTCCCCTCGTGTGTGTTGTTTGCGGATGACATAGTTTTGATTGATGAGATTAGATACAGCGTCAATAGAAGTTAAAATTTTAGAGGAATGCTTTAGAATCTAAATGTTTTATATTATATGGAATGCAAGTTTAGTAATAATAAGAGTAGAAACGAGGAATTAGTTAAAATTGATGGCTAAGAAGTACCAAAAAGAGATTAATTTTGATATCTACAGTCAATAATCCTTGAGAATGGATGGTTCACCCTTCACAATTCTCCCTCCTACCTCTTTCACTTCTATCTACCTTTTCGCTTCTATCTCCTTCTCGTAACTCACTCTCTCCATGGTTTCCTAATGTGGCTCCACACCCTTCAATCCAAAAGGCTTCCCTCTCTTCTATTCACTCTCCCTAACCCGCCCACTCTCTACTTCATCTTCTGACCTTTCTCCTTCATCACGCTTCCACCCTTCCTTTCTCACCTCACCCCTTCTCTACTTCTCTTTCTTTTACTCTCTTCCCACCTATATCTATTTTGCAGGGCCCCTTTGGACAGTCAGAGTTTTGACTGGCACAAGTAGTTCTTCTTGCAGCCATGGCATTATTTTTTCACCACCCCTCTTCTTCTTCAAATCCAAGGACAGCTGTATTATGAGCACCTGATATGTGGGCTTATGTTGCACCACATCTTGTGGTAATTCTTCGTGTGTGTAGTTTTTTTTTGCCCCTTTTGCGCCTCTTTCCTTCCCCTAACTACTTTGGTTTTATGTTGTATTATGAGCACCTAACCTGTGGGATGCCTTTTTACTTCTTCTTGTGGTTTTTGTATTATTTCTTTTTATATTTATAAAGTTAACTTTTTCCTCAAAATAAAAAATAAAAAAAATCTGAGAATGGAGAGATTGAGGAAGATGTCACGCATAGAATTAGATTTGGGTGAACGAAGTGGAGATGTGCTTCTGGAGTCTTATATGATCGTCGCATGCCAATGAAACTGAAGGGGAAGTTCCATAGGACGACTGTGATGCCAATGAAACAGGATGTTGAGCGGTCAAGAAGCAACATATTCATAGAATGAGTGTAGCTAAGATGAGTATGTTGACATGAATGAGTGGCAAGACAAGAAAGGATATAATTTAAAGTGAATACATCTGAGGGAACTTAGGCGTGGCTCCAATAGGTGATAAGATGATGGAAAGTGGACTTATGTGGTCTGGTCATGTGCAACGTTGGTCTGGAACGACATCGGTTAAGAGGAGCAATTTGGTTCAAGTGGAAGGTTCTAAAAGGGCAAAAGGGAAGGCCCAAAAGGACATTGATCGAAGTAGCAAGAAAAGTTATTGGAACTTGTGGTCTGACTGAGGGTATGACCCTTGATAGAGCAGAATGGTGAGACAAGATTCGTGTAGCCGATAGATAAGGCTTAGATGATGATGATGATAATCCTTTTGGAATGCTTGTTGACATTCTTGATTTGCCATGTTCTCTATTTTATTTAATCTTTCTTTTCTTGGTTGTCTTAATAGTTTGTGTTTAATCTGGTTTGAATATGAAATAATAAAATAGTGACACTTACTAAGTCATATCCTACATCAATGTTTCTAACAATTTACTTTCACTTTTAAGTTTGCAGTGTCAATTAATTTTGATGCCTTATATTTGTTTTAATCCCATCACTGTAGAAGATCTGATTTCAATCTGTCTTTAGGGTTATAACTTATAAAAGGAGTATCCTTTTTTTATGTATTTCGAGTTCTGTTTTTCCTGTGTCTGTTGGGTGACGAACACAATGTTTGGGTCTGATTATTGTAGGTTATGATTGAATTTAGTCTTGAGTTTTGCTTTGCCATGATTGGTATTTGATGTCCTTTCTTCTAACAATCTTTAAGGGGAAAGTAGGTTATTATCTCTTTATTAGCTTGAGGATTTTTTGGATGGCAGCCTATGACTTTTATTATTTCCAGATACGCGACACGAGTGTTCTTGTCAGGATGAGGCCTGCATGGGAGGACTTACGGAGTTACTTGACTGCAAAAGGTCGCAAACGTTTTGAGGTTTATGTTTGTACGATGGCAGAAAGGGATTATGCATTGGAGATGTGGAGGCTTCTGGATCCAGAAGCAAACTTGATAAACCCAAGACAACTTTTGGATCGTATCGTATGTGTTAAGTCAGGTAGGATGCCTTTAAAATTGCACTTCCTTTACTTGATGTGCCTGTGAACAATTTGAAAATTTTATTTGATTTTTGAATTTGCTCACGAGACAATGTTATGGATCATTGGTTTGTACTCATGCTATTTTATTAGCACCCACATTGAAAGAACTATTATCGTGTTCCTGTTTTTTTCCTTTTTTTTTGTTTTTTGTTTTTTGATTGGTGTTGCTGCTACTTGAAATTCAATATTTTTTAGTGGACCTTGGGTTTCTACGATATGCGATTTTCTTTTTTCTTTAAGTTCCTCTGTTATAGTTACTTCACTGTTTGTGCTGATATGAAGGCCCTTGGACAGGATCAAGGAAGTCTTTGCTCACTGTTTTTCAAGATGGTATTTGCCATCCTAAAATGGCAATGGTGATCGATGATCGTTTGAAGGTGTGGGATGATAAAGATCAACCTCGAGTGCATGTTGTTCCGCCATATGCTCCATACTATGCTCCTCAGGCAGAGGTATTACTGATCATTTCAAACTAACTGTCTGCAATGGACTCATGTTTTCTGTGATTAATTTTCTCCAAGATGGACTTAAACTTGCTTTATCCTTATTTAATAGGTAAATAATGCTGTTCCAGTCTTGTATGTTGCAAGGAATGTTGCATGCAATGTCAGAAGTGGTTTCTTCAAGTAAGTTGAAGGGTATCCTTTTTCTGGTTTTATGCTGATGTTTTTAGCTTGTCAGTTGCATAGGTGAAACCATGATTGAAAAATTCAAATAGCTCAATTTGACTCTGGCAAGTGTTACCATCAGATTGTTTCGTGAATTTTAGTTTCCTTCGATAATCACTTTCCAAGTTTTACTAAGTATCTGATTGGTTTTGACCAAGTGTTTGAAACTGAAAACTTGGCTAAGTTTCTTCAAGTTTCGAGTTTTTCCTAGTTCTTTGTATTTATATGCATGTAAGTTTTTGCTATCCCTTTGATTTGGTTTGATGTTTTAAGGTGCTTATGGAAATGTACATAAGATGCTATAGGTAGAAGCAACCCTCTCCCTCACTAATCTACCTTTTATGTGAATTTCCTCTCTCTCTGTCACCCCCTCCTTAAATCTTACCCAAACCCTATGATTCCCACCTCTCTCTCACCATCTTATCTTTCCGAAATCCTGCACTCCTCATAGTCTTTCCTGAATACCTGATGTTTCCTGGATATAGTCTTATTTGTGGATAATGAATTATGATTTCTATGTATCCATCCATCCATTCTTTCATAAATGTTTATACAAAGAACATAAGTTCAAGTGAAATTTAATAGGGGGGAAAAAAAACATAGAACGGCGACAGCATGCTACCTTCTCCTTCTCAAATTGAATTATAGCCATGGTTCAAGATGACTTCATAAGGTCCAACTTTTCCTCATTTTCACCTTTTTTTTTCTTTTAAACAATGGGGACACTATATTATAGTATAAATATAACTAAAAAACCCCACAAGTTGGGGTGTTAGCAGTCGACAGACTGGGTGGAACATCAATTTTTTGTTTATCAAAATAGAAAAGATCTCCTAGACGGCCACTTGACTAGTTTAAACTGTCATCTCCTATGCTTCTGAACACTTTATATTGCGTTTACAGTATATGGATCTTAAATTTCATGGCGGTGGTTTTGATTTTGTAGGGATTTTGACGATGTTTTGTTGAAAAGAATTCCTGATGTTTTCTACGAAGATGATATTTCGTGTCTGCCATCTGCTCCTGATTCAAGCAATTATTTGCTGTCAGAGGTAACTTATGATGAGCTATGAGCTTTCAAGTTTCAACAATCTCTAATATTCAGGAGTTTTCTTTTTTGATAAACGTTAACGGGTGTAAGTTGAACACTTCTGATTCCTGTATTTACTATTTGTTCTTGAGTCACTTTTCAGGATGATTCTTCTGTCTTAAATGGAAATAAAGACCTTCCTATCCCAGAAGGCATGGTAGATTCCGAGGTTGAGCGGAGATTGAAGGTTACTCATTTTATTTATTGCAGTAATAGATGAAATTTTGGCATATTAACTTGTTTTCCATAATGTTCCCTCCTACAGGTTCCAAAATGATGGTGCTCCTTCAAAATATCCAGAGTCAGGCTTAGCTGCTTTTAGTTTGTAGATTTACAGCAACTCTTTTATTTAATGTTTTCCATTTTCTTGCTGCAGGATGCTAATTTTGCCATGCAAGCCATGCCTACTTCTACATCGAATAATAACTTTGAAAGGAGGCCGACAATGTCTCTCCAGCATGTTGCTTCTACCTCTAACATGATTTCACAATCACCTTGTCAAGGACCCATGTCTTTGAATAATAAGCAGTATAATCATGCTGTACCATCCCTTAAGCCCTCGGGTCACATTTGTTCTTCAGATTCTACCTTGCAGTGCTCCCCTGGTAGAGAAGAAGGAGAGGTTCCTGAGTCTGAATTAGATCCTGATACAAGGAGAAGACTTCTCATCTTGCAACATGGTCAAGACACTAGGGAACATGGTACAATTGATCCTCCTCCTCCTCCTTTCCCTTTGAGACCAGCTCTTCAGATTGCTGTGCCTCCGGCACAATCACATGGCCCCTGGTTTCCTGTGGAGGAAGAGATGAGTCCGAGACAGCTGAGTCATCCTCTCAGAGAATTCCCATTGGAACCAGAAGCTGTTCAATTTGATCGGCATCGAGCTCGTCCTTTTTTTCATGGTGTGGATGGCTCAATTCCTGCTGATAGAGTATTTAATGAAGCCCAAAGATTGTCTAAGGAGGTAAAATTTACTTGAACTTTTGTTTATGGAAAAGGTTGTATAATCTAGTGATTAAAAGCGTGGACGGGAGACTTGCCAGGGTCCTGAGCCCCCGATTAACTGACTTGGCCGAGTTAGCGGTCTGACTAGGCCAAATCTCTAGTAAATACATGGGGGAACCAGGATTTGGTAAGATTCATCTGAGTTTTGGTGTTGTCATCCGGACCTGGCACCCCGTTGGGTCAGGATGACTCGTGCGAGTCCGATCATTAGTCAACAGTTTCTGAATCCCTGGTATAAGCCAATGAACTATGGTATACTTTATTCTCCATTGGAGCCAATACCATCCAATGAAATGCTGTATGATGATGCGGAGGGGGTGGGGTCCATCAGAACATGGGATGATACCATTGGTGTCTTCTCTTTCACCATCCATCATTTCATTGGATGGTGACCATAATTGAAAATTATGCGGTGGTTCAACACAGTGCTTCCCTAGAAAATCAAAATCGAAAATGTATAGGACTTAGTGACTCACCACCTGAATCGACTTGATTAAGTCATTTCCCAGGAGGCTTCTGAGAAAAAGCCTAGCCTTGCAGGTTTTGGTTAAAAGCTGGTCGCGAGTCAACATGGATTGTTTGACTCGGCTGGGTTTATACTTTATAACATAGTTTATTTCTCTAGATTTTTGGTTTCGGTCTTTGATCCACCTGATTGACATGTTAATGTGCCTAAGTGATTTAACCCGATTCAATGGTTGATCAAGTCTGAGTTAGAGTTTTCGTACTGACAGTGATGACTTTCATTGGCTATGATATGCCATCGTTCATTGAATATAGTATGGTTGGCCTTTGTTTTATTTTTATGTGATTACTAGTTTTTGTGATTATGCAAAATAAATTTACTTTGGTATGTATAGGTTCAATACCGAGATGACCGTTTACATCAAAACCTCCCGAAAACAAGTTATTCTTCCTTCCCAGGTACTCTTTTGTAGATATAATATTGCAACAGTAACAGTGAGGTCATAATTGAACCAAGCAGATGAGTAGATATATGCTGATAGGCTTTAAGATGTTGCATTTAATTTTTATGGGTTATTAAATGTTTTTTTCATATTATTACAGATCTTGTAATTATATTGCTTGCTTTTGGTTCAAGTAACCTATTGTCAGACCTTTTTCTTGGATTTGAGATGGATAATGTTCCTTTTTTTTTTGAGAACTTAACTATGTGGAATGTGCTGTTGGAAGTTGTTAAGAATGTTGTGAATGTTGGAATGTGTTTGGGGGAGGGGGGGGGGGAAGGGGTTGTGAGCTGGTCTTAGCTGAGGAATATTTATGAAGGTATCAAAAACTTTGTATTCATGGGGGTCTGAGTAGACTGAGTGTAAGGCTTGAGACTCAACTCTCAATTTGACTTGCCACAGGACTCTGGTAAGTCTCGAGCCACTCAAAACTTTGTTATTAGTTGAAAGATGGGAAGCTTATCGCAATCTACAATTTATCATGGATACAGGATGTATCTATAAGCTTTTTTTTTTTTTTCGGGTTGAGTGATGTATCTATAAGCTTACACTCATTTTATACTTGGTCTCACAACTGTCAGTTCTCAATTTTTTTTCTCATGGCTGGGAATGTAGTTTCTGTATATGCTGTTGTTATACTGGACTGCCGTATTCTTTATTATTGGAAAATTTTTCTCATTCAAGTTTTATTCAGAAGTTGAGGAGATGCCTCCAGGTCAATCATCATCCAATACCCGGGATGTTCCTTTTGCTACTGGGCAAGTTCCTCCGCAATACTCCCCTACTCCTGTTGGAGTTCTGAAGGATATTGCAATTAAGTGTGGATCAAAGGTGCTCATGGTGTTTTAATATAGATTTGGTTCTCAAACTCATGAAATTGTACATTATCTTATTCTATTCTCATTTTTTGTGACCAATTTTACTGCATGAAGGTGGATTTCAGGTCAATGGTGGTTCCTACTACCGAGTTGCAATTCTCTGTTGAGGTTGGTTGGTCAATCACTTCGTACAATCTATCAAAACGTGTAATTAAGTAGTCAATGAAATTTTTGTTTGTTTGACCATAAAGTGACTTTTCTGGATTGAGTCTAGTTATTTACGCAGCTGTCAATGGCTTCTGTGATTTGAATGTCACTTGACAGAATTGTTCAATATGAGAGAGCCATACCAAGTAGTATAGATCCCGGATTACTACAATCCCTTTTGGAAAAGGTGGGTTAACTAACATAAGAAAGATGGAACCGAATGCCTCTTTAAAAGAAAGCTCTTCGCCAACCAAGCGAATGAAGTCAATCAAGTATGCTCCATCCAGGAAGACATTGTAAGGGGGCTATTTTCAGTTCCCTCGATAAAAACAGCACTACCTAACTTATAATAAGTCTATCTATCAATGTCTCGAAGAATTGCCAAAGCATTTGACTCTTCATTCTTTGCAAGGGTATTGGTCGATCAAATCCTAGTTTCTAATGTGTCTGTGTGCATGCGTGGGTGTGTAATATCTTTGGTTGCTTTTCAAAATAAAAACAACCCAATGGTGACAAATTTTTTATTCAAGCATTCCTCTTTGCAAAGCGCGGCTCATATGGTTTAATCATAAGTACATCATTTCTATCTTTGTTTTCCTTCAATTCATGGATTTACAGGTAATTAGGTAATAGCCTAATATCACTATTGGTTTGGTCCAGGTTTGGTTTGTTGGTGAGAAAATAGGGGAAGGCATTGGTAAAACGAGGAAGGAAGCTCAATTTAAAGCGTCAGAGGCTTCTATACGCACTTTGGCTAGTATGGATACCTCCCTTTTTTATTTCCACTGCTACTTTCAAATATTTTCAGAACCCCATGTATGCTTCCGTTTGTTTATTTATTTGTTTGATTATTTTATTGCTATATAGTAATATTATTAATTTCTCTTTTTCTTCTAGAAAAAAAAACGATGCATTTTGTCAATATTTACTGCTGCTGGTGTTTACAAGAAACATGATATTATCAGTGAACTGAAGATAGGATGATTCATTGTGATTGTGGCAATGAGTTATTTAACTGTGATGGTAGTTGGCAAGCAAGAAATCAGTTCTGAATGTTGGATGGAAAAGATGCATACATAATTGCATTTGGAATCTTTTATAGTTTTGAGAGATGAGTCCATTAAATTTTCCCAAGAAAAATATCTATTTCTTGGTTTTTATTCAAAAAATAAATAAAATCTATTTCTCGGTTTCAATGGGCTGGGCCTGGTGCACAAGTTTTGCGCATGCAAACACGCGTTAACTGCAGCAAAACGATATAATTATTATTTTCTCTTGATTGGTAATTATTAGTTACGAGTTATAGAAGCGAGTTTTTTGGAATCACGTTTTTTACCCAAGCAATAGAAAAACATTACATAATTTCAGGTCTGGTGATCATGTGATGTTCCTAATTTCAAAAATATGCAGATGACATAGTTTTGATTGATTAGACCAAAACGGCGTCAACACAAAGTTAGAACTTTGAAGGGATGCTCTAGAATCTAAAGGTTTTAAAATTAGCCGGACTACGACAAAGTATATGGAATGCAAGTTTAGTGATAATAGGAATAGAGACGTGGAAGTAGTTAAGATTGACGTCCAAAAAGTACCAAAAAGGCTGCACTTTCGATATCTTGGGTTGATAATACAGAAAAATAGAGAGATTGAGGAAGAAACTACACACAAAATTAAAGCTTGGTAGGCGAAGTGGAGATGTGTAAGTGGACTTCTATGTGATCGCCGCATTCCAATGAAGCTGAAGGGCAAGTTCTATAGGACAACTGTGAGACCAGTTTGCTCTATGGGGGTAGAATATTAGGTGGACAAAAAACATATACCTATAGAATGAGTGTAGCGGAGATGAGGATGTTGAGATGGATGAGTGGCAAGTCAAGAAGGGATAGAATTCGAGAAAATTTAGGTGTGACACCAATAGGCAATAAGATGAGAGAGAGTAGACTTAGGTGGGCTGGCCGGCCATGTGTGGCGTAGACCTAGTACAACGCCTGTTAGGAGGGGCGGGTTATTTCAAGTAGAAGGCTCAAAAAGGGCAAGGGATATCCCCAAAAGGACGTGGTTGGAAGTAATCCGAAAAGATATGGGGACTTATGGGCTCACTGAGAGTATGACCCTTAATAAAGCAAAATAGCGAACTAGGATTCGTGTAGGAAAAGGCTATGATAATGATTATGATTTAAAAAAATAAAAATAAACTGTTGCTTATTTTTTTTTTTTAAAAAAAAAGAAAAAGAAAAAGAAAAAGGGAGTTCCCACAGCAAGAACTAAAATTGCCTAAAAATTCCAAAGTAGGTGATTATTATGCTTAGGAATCCCTAGTTCTCACATTTTTCTAGGAGTTTACTTGTCCCTCACATTTTAGTTCCCATAGTGTAGATTCTAGATACGATGTAGAAACGTTTTTGAAAGGCCCAAATGGCTGCGTTATTGACACTGAATTGAACTTCGTCCCCCCCCCCCCTACTTTTAAATTAACAATATTTGTTCTTCACTATTGTAATCAACTATTGTTTGCTTACCTTTATTGGTTTTGACTTGTGCCTTTTGTATTGCTTCAAAGCTGGCCTCTAGTATTTGTCATACTTTGTAAGTATGTGTTGTTTTATTTATTGATGGCGGTGAACTAGATCCTTCTATTAAACAAGCCTAACAAAATACCACTGTTTCAAAAAGCAGACTGCCCAGCGCCGTCTAGGACCTGCGCCCCACCCAAGGGTGGAAATGCAGGTCATTTAGAGTATTTTTGGGTCATTTTTTTAATACTAAAGGGGCAAACTTGTGGGTTTTAGGTTCATTTGAAACCTAAAACCCATTAGAGACTATTTTAGAGAGAGAAAACCTATTTTTTTTTTTCTACTGGGCCATCCAGGTTCTGGGCGCCCGCCTAGGCGTTGGGTGGCTTGGACCCCCTTGACCGCCTAGGTGCCGCGTAGCGCTTTTTGAAACACGAAAAAATACTCATTGCTATCAAATAGCGACAATCTTGCAAATTTCTACTTTTACATGGACTCTTGTCAATTACTTTCATTGTGTTGGAAAGCATACATTTATAAACAATGAAGACTTGATTTGCAGAGAAATTCATTAACAATATGACTGATTTGTATGCATCCTACGTTATAATTATTGGTTTTTTTTTTGTTGGATTCATAGATTTGTTGCATTGGAATTTTAGCTCTACTTTTTAAGTGCTACTCTAATCTTCATATTACTATCATTGTAGGGACATATTTAGCTCAGATTTCACCTGATATTGGACTTGGTTGTGGAGATATGGATGACCGTTCGCTTGGAAGTGACAATGGACTCATGGGTGACTCCATTAGTTCTGCTGGGCTTAGGGAAGATTCTCTACCAATTGCAAGTACCTCTGAGCAACAAAGATTTTTGGATCAAAGACTAGAGGGATCTAAGCAGTCGATTGGAGTTGTTTCTTCTCTTAAAGAATTGGTGAGCTGGATGCATTCTGTTTTTCCCTTCAGAAATATCTGTTCTAGTTGATGCTTGACTTTTGCATTGTGTTGACAGTGTCATTTCTTTGTTCTTTCAGTGCTCAGTGGAAGGCCTCAGTCTAGTATTTAAAGAGCTGCCTCCAACAGGTTCAAATCATAAAGGGGAAGTCTATGCACAGGTTTGGATAGTTTGTGATGTTTCTTTAGTATGTTATAACTAAGTCTGTATCTGAATGCAATAAATATGTTATCTACACACACATATATAGTGTGTTTGTCTATAGTTGACAACCCCTCAAAATACTGAGGTTAATGCTAGAAATTTAGGATGGCAATGGGCCGGGCGCCCCAGTCCAGCCTTAAAAAAGTAGGGCCTGGGCAACAGTTTGTGGTCCGATGTTTGGGCTAGGGCCAGTCCGGCCCAGTTTGGCCTGGCCCAGCCCTCTTTTTTTTCTTGTTTTCTCTTCTATCTCTTCTTCATTTGTTTTCGGCCCGGCCATTTGGGGACGAGGGCTGGGCTAGTGATGGCCCGACCTAGACCTGGTCTGTTGCCAGCGGTTGTTAGAATGAGTTGTAATGAGTGTGTTTACCGTTTGAAAACTTAATTTTTAAAGGTAATATTGACCTTTGTGTTTTCATGGTTGTTAATTGTAGATTATCCATATATATATATATATATATATATATATATATGTATACTATTTATGTGTTTATTCTATATATTGTTGATATGGTTCATCAGAAGGGCATGGCACTATCTGTCACTTGACCTCATGAAGTTTAATATTCAGTGTACCAATTCTTTTATGATAAACTGTTACAGGTTGAAATAGCAGGACGCGTTTTAGGGGAAGGAGTTGGCTCAAGCTGGGAAGAAGCTAAGATACAGGTTCTTGGTGCTATGCCTGTACTTCATACTTGGTGTAGTTGATGGTTTTGTAGATGGTGGTCTTATGTATTGATGCATATAATTGGAATCCTACCAATTTGCATGTTTCATGTATATGAGTTTGTCTATATAGAAATTAACATGCAAATGTTACGCAACTACCTGTACATGTATGTGCACATGCATTGCCCTTGTGGTCATCTGAAAATCTGCAAGGAGCTTTATTCTCACCCAAGTGCTGCCGGTTTGAATCCATGCATCTAAACCCCACATTCAAACCTACATCTACACACAAATACATAGGTCTATCCTCATGTATCGTCTCAATTAGAATATCAAATGTCCAGAGAAGAAAATCTGATCAATATATGCATGCATTTTCAGATGCATTTGTGTGTGTATTTTTTCGGATGAGGAGTGTCCTCTTTATGGACAAATATCATTTCTCCGAAAGAGAATTTTGGAGGTTTGTTTGTGTATGATCTCACACTCATACACATACCAATCAAGACACACAAATGCATGCCCATATAGGTTATTCTAGGACACACCACATTAATGGTGAACTTAAAATTTACTACTCCAGGACTTTTGACTATAGATGTGAAACTGTCAAAATTACTTCAGTTGTACTTTTCTTTATTTCATGGCTATAACATGAATAAGGGCATTATTTTCATTGAGGACATTGTTGGTATTTTCACTGAAGGACAAAGTGTATTTTTGTTATCTCAAGAAGGACCTACTTTAAATTTTCACTAAAAGGCATTTGTATTATTAAAGTGCCTAGAGTATTATTCCATAATTACTCTTATGTGAAAATGTCAGTAATATCCTTTTTATAACAAAAATGTTCTTACTTATTTTATAGTTATAGTCTGATAGAAATAAAAGAAAGGGACAAATAGAGTAATTTTTATGGCTTACACTTCTTTCTAAATGTTACCTATAGGATGTAATGGGGTGTTAGTGTGTTTCTATGTGTGTGGATAAAACTTTTGTCAGTCGACTGGCCTACAGAACAGTATATGATTGGACGGTCCAAACTAAAGGAGAAGGGCCGATCTGGATGACTGAGAATGGTGGACACATTTTACCCCACATTTTTTATGCATATCAATTTTTTTGTTATTTATTTGGAGGTCTTAGATGGGTGAAATGCGTGTGCAAAATTTTGTTTTCCTCAGACTCTACTTCTTTCGAAGAAACCAAAAACATTTTTACATGCAACAATACCCATTCATTTTTTTTGTTCTTCAATCTGGGCCTTCTGGCCTATACTTATTTTTTTTTGCCAGTCTGCTTATAAGAACTTTTTCCAATATATATAGATATATATTTATGTGTGTTTGAGTGTGTGTATCGGAGACATCTTCTTCAATGAGATTATTATTATACATGAAAACATTTCAGTGAATCTTCATATTCTATATTAAACCACTAGAGAAACTTGAGAATGAGACTTAAAAACACTCACCCTAGATGACTTGGTTTGGGCATCAGTTGGATTTATAAGACTTGACCAAGTCTTACAATTTCCTGTCTTTTACATGTTTCTGGCAACTTGGCTAAACTTTACTGAATCACTGTGGTTCTGAACTGGATGGAGCCTCTTTGAACTTAAAACCATTTAATTGAGGTAGCATAACCTGTTTTGAGGAACCATTTTTCTCCAAGCCCATCAATGAGAAGACTCTATAGCAATGCCTGGTGCATTTGGTTTGTAGTTCCCCTTTTGTATATGTGCATGATTTTTATTTAAAAGAGTCAGAATACTACCTGATTTCATCATCTGGACTTGATACTGTTTCTGTACATGGCGCTTTGGTATCATTGACTGTAATTCTAGCAGTTAGAAGTCATTTATACTAGTTTGAAGGAATAAATGTTATTAAGTCTGGTGGTTTTGTTTCCACGCTCCTTTTTGTGTGAATATTGAGATTTTATCCACAGGCTGCTGAAGATGCTTTGGGAAGTTTGAAGTCTTCACTTATTCAACGGACCCAGAAGCGACCAAGTTCTCCGAGGTATGAATTTGGGTGCATCTCCTCATGCTGATGTCTACTTTGATATGATGCTTTCTGTGTTCTACTCATTTGGTGATACACTGAAAAGGAGATTATAGAATGGGTTTGTATATCATGAGACCATTTACTTTTGGTACAAGGAGGTCACAATCAATTTTAGCCATTTGATGTGAAATCCAATAGATTGAAGTGGTTCTCATTATTCGAGAAATTTTGTTTTGGACTTTGTGCCCAATCAATGACACATCTTCAACCACCCGACTTCACATTCAAGGGTCAATAATGATTGTGACCTCCATGTATCAAAAGTAAATGGTCTTATACATTTCTTTATAAAATTATGTAATAATTCTGAAACTGAGTGATAGTTGGTCCATCTGAGTCCAGGTACATGCTTTGGGGATTAGTTTATTGGGGTGGCATATTGAAATGTGGATTGTGGAAACCCACATTTTATGTGGTTATCACCATCCTACGAAACTGTCTAATGATGTAGATAGTGGGACCCATTTTTTCCTGATCCTGTGGGTCCCACTCTCTCCATCACAGTCCATGGACAGTGGTACTCAATGAAGTTCAATCTGTCTATATTCTATCCATCGTATTATAATATGCTTTCCCTTTTATCATGGAATTCATTATTCTCTTGGTCGTGCATTCTGTTTGTGTTTTTGGGGGACCCACAATTAGTCATTTGATTCTTGATAACAATGATTGAGGTATTTCATCTTTGAACCTTCATAAAGTATGTGCACTATGAAATTGTTTCAGGTCATCACTGAGTATCCAAAACAAACGGTCGAAGCCAGACTTAATTAGAGGATTGCAGCAAATAACATCCTCAACAAGATACTCCAAAAGTGGTTCTGCTGTATCTTAAAACCCATTTTTTTAGGTGGTTCTGCCACTAACTTGTGTACCACCAGTTGCTTCATTGGGGTTGTAACTGATAACCCCTTTGCACATTTTGGTGCCACTCGAGAATCCCCCACTTCTCTCCCCCCCACCCCCACAATGTGCTGCTGCTCCATGAAGGCTTTGAGATGAAGAGAGGAATTCTGCAACTACTACAACCCCTTTTGTCTGTTGTTCATCAGGGCTTCAACTAGTGGTTTTTCAAATCATATCCATTTGTTCTTTTATGATAGTGGATTCTCATTGATGATTTGGTGGGTGGGTTGTGTTTGAAGCGAGGAGGTTTGGGGGGAACCTGATTATGCTGGCAATTCGGGAGGGTTGTTGAGATAAATTAGTTGGACCTACCTGTGCCTAGATATTACTGCTCTGAGATATCGTCCCTTCAAGATAGCACATTCTTGGGAACATTGCAAGAAATTAGGACTGGAGGATTGAGAGCTAGTGTTTTAGTGACACTGCCAATCCATTGATGACAAGGACAAATCTGTACTTGCAGAGGATATCTGCCATTATTCTTTGCCCCACTTTAGCTGAGAGTTTTGCTGGGGCTTGTTGCTTAGCATAATTCACAATTTTCTTTTGGACTTGGATTCATTATTTCTTCTCCAGACTCCATACTGAATCACTGATGCTGTTGCGGTGGCCCAAAGAGATGAGGTATGGGGAATCAATTACGGTTAGGATTTGCTTTGAATAGGTGAAAGCTGACTATCATGGTGAAAGGTCATATGCATGTAACCTTCATGTTTTTGAGAGGAACACACTTCCATCAGAGGAATGCATTTGCATTGGTGCTTAGGTATGCTTATCGCCCTCAATTTGCCAACTATTGAGGAGAAGTTCTTGGTTATCACAGTGATTTCCGATCAGATTGCATTCTCAAATTAAGTTGGCACATTGACCATCCCAAGGGATTGGTTTGCTCGAACACTATCCATCTCCCATGATATTTAATTTGATGAAAGTCAACTTTTGGGGATGTAATCATTATCACCTGGATTTCTCTATCCAGGTGTTAGTTCTTATCTATTGCACCCGTTGCTCTGGTGATAACCGGGAATCAACTCTCAGAAGTTTTGAAAGTATCAAGGATAGAAGAATGTGAAATGTCCGGTATAAATGCTTTAGGGAATGCAAGGGTTTTAGGGTTTATTTCAAAATGAGGCATTGAGGGAGGGTTTATGATTGTCCTTTGTATTGTTCAAGATTGGATCCGGACCTTCAATTCAAAAGGCTGGTCGGCACATGCAGCAGCTATTCATTGAAATAATGAATCTTCTTCACCGTCTATATTTGCCACATCCAAGATCATCAAGTCTTTCGAGAGTGCTCTTTGAGCAACATGCAAGTGATTGTTCTTATGGGCTTACTCATGTTTAGCCCCAACCATCATTAGTGCGAACTAATGGCGAATGTTTGGAGCACGGTATATCATGGTCTGTGGACTATTATGAACGTTCGTTTAAATGCGTGGGGTAACACGTTCCTGATTGGCCTATCCTCTAAATATAAGTTCCTGATTTCACTTAGAGAGAGAGACTTCTTTCTCCCTTTTTGCCTTTTCTTTTTCCTAGTGCCAGTGTGTGTTTTTTTGCGTTATCTTTTTCATATCACGTGAGAGACCTTGGCAGGAAATATGATTTCTTTCTCTTACCTGTTTATGAAAAGGAAAATCACTTCATACAGTCAAATGTAGTATATTACTTCAAACCAATGTTTCGGTTTGGTGAGAAAAACAAAGCAATTTGGTGCTTCGGCCGGACAAAGAATTCTGGCACTTTTTTTTTAAAGAAAATTAATATAAACAAAATTGATATTTATATATAAAAGTAATTTTAAAAAAAAGTTTAAAAAATAAAAAATAAAGAAAATATTTTTTATAGATATTTCTTTGTTTTGGCTGAATTGGCATGAACTCGGCCAAATCGACCCAAAGCTGGCCGAAGTTGACTGAAGCAGCCCAAAGCATCAACACAAGGCTGCATTTCGCTTTGATCTAGGCCAACAATCGGAAGAAGGGAATCCTGCTTCAAACTTCTAAAGTGATCAAATCAAAAGAGCATTTGCTAGCAGGAGCAAAGTGTACATATTTGCACACTTATTGGATCGAAACAACCATTTATGATGGATTTTTTAGCCAATGATTTGATAATCAAAACAACCATTTATGATGGATTTTCGAGGTGCATTTTAACTCTACATTTTAATGTTACAACCTTATATAAACCTTTCCTAATATAAATGTGTCTGAGATGACATTTTAATTTTGATCAAATGATTATCATTAACCGGTGGAACACCAACAATAGTATAAAATCAAAAGACTTCATTTGTTCAATTTAATTCCTTTTCTTTTTCTTAGATTGACGATTATCGCACTCGAGATTAGCGAGATTCATATTCTATCGAAGTTCTATATTGAAGATGGATTGTAGAGGGGATGTATATCAATGAATGAGTCGGCTCACTGTTTTTTTTTTTTTGAACTGCAAGTAATATCATATGAAGACGTACAAAAACAAAAGGAAAAGAAAAAAAGAAACACAACGGAATTACAACAAGGCGTCCTCTTTGGCTATACGGTCAGCCGCCTCATAAAAAACGAATCTATATGGTATTCTTGACCAAGCAATTCGATCTTGATTGGGTTGTCAGTCCAAGGATATATAATTTTGAGTACAAAGTGGACAAGGAAAAATATTGAACGAGATTATTTATTTTTTAGTACAAGGAGTATACATCCATTAGATTTAAAATTGGACAGGTCGGATATATCATTGCCCATTAGATTTAAAATTGAACAGGTGGGATATACCATTGACTGTTAGATTTAAAATTGAACGGACATAACATTAATCAAGTTCAAAGTTCAAAAAATCAACCTGTATTAAGCTTTGGGAATTGACATCCGATTATTAAAGTGATTATGACATTGTACTAAAAAAAGATATGATACGTGTAAGGTTGCAACTTCAAATAATAAGCACTTCTAAACTTTGTTATAAGATTAATTTTAGTGTTGAAAATTTTTAAGATTACGTGAAAGTCTATTTTTATATTTAATTATAAAAATTTTAATTTTAAAAATAATTCAAATTAAATAAATCTATAAACTCATGAAAATCTTAAAAATAAATGGTTCAAATAATATATCGTAAGATATAGTATTTATGAGACTCGAAAATCTTTTTTTTTTTTATATCCATATATCTAGAAGTCGAAATAAATAATTAGATATTTTTCCAACATCTAAAAGTACTTTTTTGAGAGATTTTTAAGACGCACTTCAATTCTACATTGTAGAGTGTCAACCTTCCATAAACCTTTTCCCAAAAATAAAAAAGTTCTCATGGTACACAATCCTAATCCCTGAAACAAGGGCCAAAATATCAACTGTATGCATATACACTATCACTGTCCAAATCAACGGTGATGGAGGTCTTGCCATACATCTGACTCCTTCGATCACCGTTCAACCCACTGCCTCTTCGGTGATAATATCCGTGATCATCTTGTTAGAAGTATACCACTATACTCTCTTTCGCAAGAACATACGAGAGCCTTGTCAACACCAGGTATCGCGTTGAGCTCAAGCCATGCATCAGTTCCATAAGTACTTTAACGCATGTAGCTTTATAAAATTGAAAATTCAGAAATATTTTAGCTCTTAATTTTTAAATTTTTTTTTATGAGAGTACTTTCGGTAAAAATTTTAAATTTCGGATTTTAAACACCCAGAGATAGAAGGTTCTGTTTCTGTTTTTTAATTTAATCTGATTTTCTTGGCTTTTGTGTTCAATCTGGTTGAGCTAAGAGAGAGAGA